CCTTTTAAACAAGCTGTCACCTCTGCTTGGAACGCTTGACCATCCACGTCCTTCAACATCACTTCTTTCACAAAGCTCATCAAACCCACAATTTTTCTGTAGTATATCTCCCTTCTATTAGAAAACAAGGTCCATAAAAACAGGGAACCTTATCCGTCTCTTTACCCCCAGGTCCCCAGCACCTAGCACAGTGTCTGGCACAGTAGAAGCATTCTGTTAAAACAGATCTTGGGCTGAATTGCACTATTATAACAAAAAGAAAAAAGGGGAACCAGCAGTTAGCGTAATGGCTATGTCACTGGACTCCCACGTAGTCGACCGTGGTTCGCGTCCCGGACCCGGTGGCTTAAAACTCAGGCCATGTATGTGTGCATGTGTGCCCAAGATCCTGAGAGGAGAATGGAGGAGAAGGGATTGCGGCGTGACCATCCCCCCGGGGGGATGATTTCTTGCTTTCTGTCTCTATGTCTCTCTCTGTCTGCCTGGCGAGCGCACGCGCCCTATAGCAAAAAACCTCTCCAAAAAAAAAAAAAGAAAAGAAAAGAAAAGAAAAAGTCCACCTGGCAGTAGATGCTGTATGGAATAAGTTAGAAAAGGAGAGACTAGAACCCACCAAAGCAAATAGGAAACTATTGGAGTTATCCAGACAAAGGGCAATAAAGGCCTAGACTAAGACTGTAGGAATGAAAAAGAAAAAAGAAAGGAAGAAAGAGATAGAAAGAAAATGGAAAGAATTAAGAACCTTCCTACGAAGAATAAATAGTAAGGTTTCTTAAGTAGCTATAAATCACGGAAGAATTATGTTAAAAGTTCCTCCAAAATATGCCGAGACGATGAGAGAATAATGATGATGGTCAAAGAGAGCTGAAGCTCTGCGGAGGTGGCAGTGGGCACTGTGTGGTGGCTGCAGATAAGTCCATCTGGGGAGAAGAAAGTGCAAACTTTATCTGAACATGTGTTGAGACTGCAGGGCCAGCAGGACATACACATGCTCAGAATACAGCTGGAAAGAGGTTATGGCTAGGGATACAGACTGGAGAACAGTCAGCATGGTGGAGGTAAGTGAAGCCATGGGACGGGATGAGCTCTAAAAGGGAGAACCATAAAAGGAAGGACCAAAATCCCGGTCAGAGCTACAGGAGGTGACAGCAAGCGGAAGGAAAACGAGATGGCACAGAGTGGTACAAGGAAAATAATTCAAATGATGTTGAGAGAATTTCATGGAATAGCTATTGATTAAAGAAGCTGAGGAGGATGAAAACTAGAGGCCACTAGAGTTGGCAAGAGATCACAAGCTTTGAGAGTCAGATCCATGTAGTATGGTGGCAGAAGCTAGAACACAGGGAATGGAGCCAACCAATGGGAAAAGATTTTGTTGGCAATGTGACCATTCAGGATTATGTCTGTTTTGAAAGAAGCTACTGTGATATAAGAGTCCCAGAAAAAGGCAACCTGAGTCAAAGTGTTAGGTAATGAAGAAAACAGAAGTTTGCGCTCGATTCACCCAACTTCACACTACACATATATAGAAGCCAGTAATTCACTGGGTGAGGTTGCCGGAAGGATTCAAAACACAAGAAATGAGAGACAAAGACTGCACCTATACACGGTGAATCTCACAAATGACATTGAGAGAAAGAAACCAGCCACTGGGGACCAGCACTTGGCATGATGGCTGTGTGGCTGAACTCCCATATAATCAACTGTGGTTCAAGTCCCAGATCCAGTAGCTTAAAACTCATGCCGGGGTGGGGGGGGAACCAGCAGTTAGTGTAATGGCTATGTCGCTGGACTCCCACGTAGTCAACTGTGGTTCGCATCCCGGACCCGGTGGCTTAAAACTCACGCCGGGCGTGTGTGCATGCGTGACCAAGATCCCGAGAGGAGAATGGAGGAGAAGGGATTGTGGCGTGACCATCCCCCCTCACTCAGTGGCACAGTGGTTGAGGCTGCTAGAACCCACCTGGCTGACTGTGCAGTTTGAGTACCAGTCCCAGCAACTTGGGAAACATGATGGGCACGTGTGTGTGCATGCCTGAAATTCTGAAAAAAGGGAGAGGTGGAGAAGAAGGGATCGCGATGCGGCCATCCCTCATGGAGGTGCTTTCTCGCTGTCCCCCTCTGTCTCTCTCTGGCAAGTGCCTATGCTCTATAGCAAAAATGTCTCTAAAAAAAAAAAAAAGAAAGAAAAGAAAGAAACCAGCCACTAAAGAAACCAGACATAAAAGAGTATATCCTGCAGCTATATATACATGCATGTAATGTATGTTAATCTATTTACATACAATTCTAAAACAGACCTAATTAATCTATGCTGTTAAAAGTCAGGAGAGTGGTTGCCCTTGTGGAAGGAAGCCCAACAGTGGCCTCGGGGCTGCTGATTATGTCTTATCAGTGTGAGTGCTAGTGATGAAGGTGAGCTCACTTCGGGATGACTGTCAAGCTGTACCCTTATGATGTGTGTACTTTTCTGTGTGCATATTTCTACAAAAAGGCAGAAAACAAACATGAAGAGCCTAGTTAGACTAGAATGGTGAGCAGTTCTTGGGCCACTGATTGTAAATGGTACTTCTGGTGGCTAAGAGATAAGAAGAGGACTGACTGCACGATGTTTTCTTTACTGAGGAATTGAGACCAGCAGTGCATAAGAAGTAATATATATATTACGTAATCAAATAAATAGTGAAGGCACCACCAAGATGCCCAGTTTCTCAGATGTTTACATTTGTCTGAAGGCTTAGATTTCTAACAAAATTCCATTGTTAATTTTTATATATCTGTTGAACCTGAGAGTTAAAATCAGAGAAAATACTTGAAGTTTTCTGATCTGACCTATAAAAGTGATACGACCTGAGCTAAATCCAGAATTTTCTGTGAGGCAGGGAGAAATGTTACTTCACCTGTGTTCAGAAAGTCATACAGCTCTCCAACTTTATTATGTCTCCAACTGGAGCACATTATAAAACATTCTAATTTTTTTTCACCTGCTTCAAGCATTAATCTACACAAAAATTTCCATCATATCTAAACCCAACTAATAACTCCAAATGAATAATCCTTCCAAGTATACATCTTGTCCTTCACATATAATTGCTTATATGGCCACACATTTAATTAATCTAATTTTACAAATTTAAAAGTTATTCAAGTCAGTTAATTTTTATGCTTGGAGGCCATTCAAAGGTGATTACACATAACCCTTTCTGTGCTTTGGAACACATCCCTACTGTTTAAAAACATTCACCAGGGACACTCTCACAGCTAAGTACATAAGGTCCCTCCAGTTCCCAGGCTTTGCAATCTTTTATCCCCAAAGCATAAAAATGAACATGACGACTCTGTTCCCTATTTCTTCTACTAATTGTTAATGGATGCTTATTCCATTATGGCTATGTCCAAGACTCTTTCAAGTGCCTGAAATATACTAAGTAGTTCTGTGGTTACCTGTGAAAAGGAAGAAAAGCAACACCACGATCATCATGTACCCGAAGTACAAAATGGTACTTGCAATGCCTGTGATTTGAAGTTTGGTAAAGAAATAATGAACTGCATACAGAAAAAGATAAACAGCTGTAAAACCACCGGTAAAAAAAGCTCTCCACCACCAATGATAATCCTGCAAAAAGAAGTAGAAAAAAGAAGACCTTTCAGCTAAAACTCTAACCATAAATGGGTTAGCAATTATTGTAATAAAGAACAAAAGATAAGCTCCATATGGTTACTGATGAAAAGAAATAAAAAGGAAAGTGTTGTAAGAAATTTAATAAATATATAATGTATGTTCTGCTTGGAGTACCCTAAGAATAGAAAACTCTTTGTTTGCAAGGATACCACATGTGGCCTCTGGGATTGAACTTCTAATGTGTGCACCCTATCACAGCACTGCCTCAGCCCTGGAAGGTGTTCTGTTCAGATTCAATGTCTTTGCCAGTGTAATATTGTGCCTACTGATGCCTCCAGCCAGGTATTTAAAAAAAAAAAAGAAAACAAACAAACAAACAAACAAAAAAGGTTAGTATAAAAGTTTAAGATAGACCTTGTGGTTAATGAGATTTCCTTTCACTGGCTGAATCCAGGACCCATGGATGGTGTGACTGAGGTTAATACTGCAGGCTGGTCTCACCCTAGCACATGTCCTCCTATTGATGGTAATGTTATTATAAAGACACTGTGGCCAAACGCCACGGGGATCAATAGTGCAGAAAAGAGTTAACTGTCTGAGGCAGCTATCTTCAGAAGAGCCTGCTTGTAAGGTCGGCCCTTGGCTTGTATCTGGGGACTTGGCATTTAATCATTCCCTGACTGATAAGACCTGTTCACTATACCTAAAGTGTACAAACAATGTGATTTATGGTGGCCACTTGCTTTCCTTTTGAGAGTCTGGGCTTTCTGCAGTTGCTAGGCAGAGGGTGTCCATGTGACTAGCTCCCAATAAAAACCTTGGATGCTGAGTCTCTAATGGGCTTCCCTGGGCAGAAACATTGCACATTTATTACTGCATTTTTCACCACTAGAAAAAGGAGCACATTCAGTGCATTCCCTCATGGGAGGGAGACAGCAGAGAAAGACTACCTGAATTTCTCCAGTCTCCACCTCTGTCTTTTCCCCTTGCTGATCCTGTTGTGTATCCTTTCTCTGTAACAAAGCCTAGCTGTGAATACATCTAGGTGCTTCATCCCATAAATCCCTTCCAGTGAATGAGCAAGACATGTAGTGTCTGTGTGTGTGTGGGGGGGGGGTCCGTGGCTCCCCAAAACATCTTCTAAGAAATAACAGCATACTGATTATATGCTTATTGCTATATGTTTAATTAATGGGTGTTGCTGATTCTCTATGACAAAATGTACCATAAAATTAATGAGTAACTAGGTATAATACATACATAATGACATTTTTTTACCCATGTGTATAGATGAAAAAGAAAATGCTCTAAGACAACATTTATATAAGAATTATGCAGGCCAGTCAGTGGTATGGGGGTTAAGGTGACTGGATCCCACATGGCCGATTTTGTAGCCAGACCCAGTGGCTTGAAAAATACACTGGGCACACATGTGTGCACTCCTGAAATCCCAAGAGAAGGATAGAAGAAATAGAAGAGAAGGAATTGTGGCATGACCATCCCCCATGGTATGTGCAGTCTCACTTTCTCTCTCTCTCTGTCTCCCTCCCCACTCCCTTCCCCCAGCAAGCACATGTGCCCTCTAGAAAATTAAACAAAAAAGAATCGTTCCCTCAACCTTCTATTGTCACCTTTACAAAATCATTTTACTACCAAAATAATACAGACACAGTTATCCAGAATGATATCATGGGGGGGAAAAAGGGATCAGGGTGGGGGGGAGAAATAACAATTTATGTCCCTGGTGACCAAAAAGTAATGAAATTAGAGGAAGAGGAAGGGCCTTTATCAGCAATCTCAAACCCACAAAACACAATCCAAGCCTAAGCTACTTAGAAAAATTTTAATTGTTAAGAAGAAAACATCATTGAGCAGACCTTTTATGTGTCTATCAAATCTGTCCCTTATACTCTCTCTACGTTAACTGAATATTAAACAGCAATTATAATAACCAGCCAGAGAGAAATTGCTTTCTGGTTAAATTTTCCATCAAAATAGTATTAACTTGATAGTTGCATGCAAGTCAAAATGAGTCATTAGGAAAACACAATATAAAACTGATCCCAAGTTGCAGAAACTATGTGGTTAACATTCATTTTAATTCCTTTCTGAACACAGACTTCTAATTCCAATAATGCAAGTTTAGAAAGCTTAAGATACATTCACTTCTTATGTCTTTACCTCAACGCATAAATGAAAATAGCACAGCAAAACTGTAGCTTCTGAACAGGTTATCAGGAAAATGATAAAGACCAAAAAAAGTAAGCCAAACATATAGTACAGCTGATGAGACCTGAAAATAGAAATAATAGCTTTTAAATAAATTTTAACTTAATATTACACACAGAAAAATCAGTCCAAATTTGTACAATAGGCTGTCACACATTTCTCTAAACTGTTTTTCCCTAAATCTTTAACTCTGTTCCAATGCTTCATCTATATATCCTGTCTGAGTCTGTTATTAATTGCTTACGAAAAAAATACCAAGTCTGTGTACTTTGCAAAAATAGAGGTTTAGGGCTGGTTGTAGCACATAGAGGTAACATGCTCCTTAAAAGAAGCTGATCTATGGGACCAGTAGGTGCCGTGGTGGTTAAGGCGCTGGACACTCCCACATGGCCAACCATAGTCCAAATCTTGTACCTGGTTGCTTGCTTTCTCATTTTCCTTCTCTCTCTGTGTCTTTCTCTGGTCAAATGAAAATGATGGAATGAATAAATAAAATTAAATAATTCTTAAAAAAAATTTTAAAAAAAGAAGAAGCTGATCTATATGGTGATCATGGTTCAAATCCCCAGTCCAGTCAGCCTGAAAGATGCCAAGCAGGCATGTAAGTGCCCAAGATTCAACAGGCTGGAAGAATGCAGGAGGGGAATCACAGCATGACCAGGCCCAATGAAGGATATCCCCACTTCACATGTATGTACACATACTCTATCATGAATAAAGAAAAAAGCATTTTTTAAATTTTTTAGAGGTTTATTTGACTCACAATTCTGGTGGCCAGAAAGTACAAAGGCATAAAAAAATGGCAGAGGGAAGAACTTTGACCAGAGCAGAGCATGGCCTGTATTCATGTGGATCTCTCTCTTCATAAACCCACCAGGAATCAGTCATAGACGCCTTACCCTGATTACCTTAATCGTAATCTCAAAAAGCCCCACCTTTATTGGATCAAGTTTTCACCCTTTATTCCACTGTGGTGGTTCAACATCTGTGTCATTTTGGGGAGGATATATTCAAATGACAGCAATGTATTCAATACTATTGAAAAGAAAAATCCCTTACCTATGTAGTTTCAGGGTTTGGCCTCATTTTCTCTAGTCATTACAAGTGCTGCTTCTTACCCATATTTCCCTGCACTGATAGTTTATCTCTTACTTGAGACCTATCAATATTTCTAATTTTAAATACACACATTGAAAAACATGCTTTCTCTTTAGAAATGAAAGATTATAAATGCCATAAATACCAGCAACTGCATTATATAACAGAAAACCACAGACTTAAACATCACTTTGCCTCTGAAGTTCTATTGACATGCAGCTTCTCCCAAATGTTTTTATGTAGTACACATAATTCTATTAAGTATACTTTCAAACATATCCCTTCAAAAGATCTCTGTGTGGATTACATTTAGGTCAAACTTCGAAAGAATGAAGTCATTCCCTTCATTATAACGGGTCTGAGCTGACTAAATTGGGATGAGTAATACCCATTTTAAAAAGCCTTCTGGAGGGCCCAGCCATGGTGGCACAGGTGGTAGAATGCCGCTGCACAAGGCTGGGGCCACATGGATCCCAGACCGACCCAGGACAGGCTAGGCATGTACACATGCCTGTAATCCTAGCCAAATGGGAGGCCCAGGCAGAAGATCACAATAGAGAGATTCTGTCAAAAATACCTCTTTCTCACCCTCTCCTCTCTCTTTCTTAAAAGAAATTTTAAAAAAAGATAAAAAGCCTTCTGGAGATAAGAAGAAACTGATGAGCCAATCAAATGCCTCATTTTAAAATCTCATGGGCATGAGAATACGGGATGGGGGTTGGAAAGAGTTATCTGTACAGATAATAAGTATATATAAAGTTTTACACAATAAGTACACAGCTTTCCATTGTAACAAAAATTAATTCATCTAAAGAACCTTTTAGTTCACTTTAAAATTACTTTCCCATCAAAAACATCTGGAAAATGTGGTTACTATAATCTATTTTGCAGTACATTAAATATTTAGTTGCTGACAAGGTAACAGGTTTTTATTGCTTATCTTTCAAACAAATTTGACATAATGTTGTTTGAAAGGTGAGTAATTAATGATCATGACTAAGTTGAGTTTTTGAAGATTTAAAAGTTTTCATCTAAAAGATTTCTTTGGGATAAACGTGTTATAAAAACACACAGTTGGTAACTGCGTTTTACTTTATGGTGCTTATGCCCATCTCCAAAAATCCCTCCATACTAACACCCTAACTGGCCAGTTCCTGAAATGAGAATGCAGTCAAGAATCAGGAAATAAGAAAAAAAAAAAAAAAGGAATACAAAGTGACTGAAATAGCTTTCACAAAGCTAGGGCACCAAAGAAATAGCAGTTTAATCAGAGAGCACTAGTTCTTACTTTACATACATTCCTAACTATATTGTTTTAGAATTCTTTTTTCTTTTTTTATTAATTAATTTATTTTACATTCTTTCACTGAGCATCATCAGAGCATACAAAATGTGATTTCCCATCCAGAATACACTGCATAGTGACTTAATCATACATGTTATCATTGACAAATAATTTTCCATTTCTTGTTTCATTAGAATTCTTAAAACACAACAGATTAAAAGTAGCAAAGGAAAAGTATAAGCAGTAGGTATCCTGACATCATAACTAATGGTCATTAGAAAGAAAGAAGCTAGGAAACCATTACTTATAGCGCAATACAAATGAAGACCCAAATTCAGTGGTCTTCACATTGTTTTTAGCACAGGATCCCTGAGTGAAATCTTGCATGTAAGTCAAGTACGGGAATCAGGAAAAATCAGACCTGCCTCTTCCCACCTTCAGGCACTTCCCTTCAAGGGACTCATCCCACCCCCATGCAAAAGCTCAGTTTGACACGAATTTCCCTAAGTCATACAGAAAGGCTTAACAAAAGGTAATTCCTATTAAAAAAGGAAATCTTGTCTCAATAGAGACAAGCGAGTTTCATCAAAAGGTAGTTTTGAAAACTTATGAAGTCTCAGTTTCCTAAGAAATTCCCTGGGTCAGATTGCTATGTCCAGGATAAAGTGGGAGTTAATGAAGTATTATCAAACTAGAATTTAATCTTCTTGAAATGGAGGAAAATTAATTTCTAAAAAATTTAAGCTTTGAAGAGTATGAATATGTAACACTCACCAAATACTGTTTAGAATGAAAAAGAGTTGAACAAAAATACAGCCAAAGGGTAAAATACCACCGATCATGATGCCAAAAAGTGGTTTTGTAAAGAAGCTCTGTTGAGGAATCCGACGCGGAATCTGATTTGTGCGAACTGGACACTTAAACTGCTCAAAAAGAAATGTAATGGTAATCAGAATGAAATAAAATGAAGATAAATTAATACAGACATAAACATAATACAGAAGCTTGAGTCTGAACAGGACAGATGGTCTACAAGAGCTGTCATGTGGGCAGAGACTAGACCAGTCCTAATCAGTAGAAATATAATGCAAGCCACATATGTAGAATAAAGAGTTTCAGTAGTCACATTTTTGAAAAGTAGAAAAGGAACAGGTGAAATAAATTTAATAGCATTCTTTTTTATCTAACATAGCCAAATATAATAACTTAAATTTGTGATCGGTATAAAAACCATTGATCTGCCATTTTTCATTACTTGTGTTGCTTTTCTAAGTGCTAGAAATGCAGTGTGAATTGTGTGTACTCACTGGACATCTCAATTCACACTAGCCACATTTCAGCTGCTCAATAGCCCCTTGTGGGTATTGGCCATGACACTAGATGGCAGAGAGCTGGACAAGCAATAAAGATGTTTATTCTTTTTTAGAAATTCCAAGGAAGGCTTTGGATAAAATTTACTAGTGACTATTCCAATCCAAACTAATCCAAAATGTCAAAAAGTTCTCTCTTAAAATTTGCCCAAGAATTTGTCTCTTAGAATTTGTTCATGATTTTCAAAATTTGTCTTTGTCTTCTGTGGAACTCCCCTCCCCGTTTTGGCTTTTTCGATTTCTCCCGTGTAATCTTCTTCTCTATTTTTATATAACACTTGCAGTGGGGCTTCATTTAGTCTTTTCGGTATCCTGCTCCTTTTCTTATGTGTAGAACAGGCTAGCTTCAAACATGTAAACTCAACAGCCCCATTTCTTAGACTATGTCTTGGGTTTTCTTCTCCCACTGTGTAGCCCTACTACTTTTGTGAGTTGGCTGATGTCAGCCTTCCTACAGTATGTTCTTTGAACTTTTCCATCAGAAATAAAAGAAAATATAAACAACCTATAACATGGGAAACATACTGGATAGTGTCTTTGAAAGTGCTACAGTCTTTTCTTTAATTTTTAAATGTCTTTTATTCCATAATGATTCTTGTCTGTAGTGTTCACTAACGGTACTTTTATATTCAATGTATACATTGAATTATTTCAAGTATCACTTGAGGAATTATTTCAAGTATCACTCGATGGTCAAAGCAGCATTTTAAAAGTTTACCTTTTTCTTGCTTCCAAAGTATGCACCAAGAAATGTTAATGGTACTGAAATTCCAAACCACATTGCAAGTATACCTATCAAAGTACCAAAGGAGATGGCGGCCGATGATCCTTCCACCCGAAGAATTAGATTCATAGTGAAGAGGTCAGCAAACACAATTCTGGGGAGTGGGGAGAGAAGCAGTAAGAAAACAACGAGATGTCAGCAAAATGTTATAAACATGCTTGATATGAATGTCAGAACATTCTTTTGGTGGGAAGAATATAATAAATTACAAAGTTAATCCCTATCATATTATAATAAATCATACTGTATAAACATACTCTTTGAGTCTGGGCTTAACCTCAATACCATAAAATAAACCAATACTTTTTATAGAATTTCTACACCCTGCTCAACTCTGCACCTTTGGAGTCTAGCAGGATATAAACTGTGGAGTAATATACCATAGGAAAACTCAATATGCAATATAGTGAACACAATCAAGAAATAGCTTACATTAAAAACACATTTTTTTTAATCCTAGGCAGAACTGGGCTACAAGATGCTCTAAGTCAGACAGGTATTCATTTAATACAAAGTTTGAAGTTAGTCACTCAAAATCAACAGGTCAACTGCTATGTCTACTAAATATATGACCAGGCAAGCCCAGCTGTTGTGGCCTTACTTGTTCCAAACAAGTATGACCAAAGCTAGAGGTATGAATGGGTGTGAGTATGGATATGAAACTTTCAGAATGCCTAAAACATACATTTGAAGAGGGAGGTAGACACAGGGGAAATTGTAGAAGGTTTTTTTAATGTTGACTGAAGCAACGTAGACTTTATCCTGTTAGCATCGGGATGCAACTGAAGGGATTTTACAATCAAAGCTGTGATACACCACGTGGTCTTTCAGGAAGATGAAACTACAACATGGTGGAGGACAGACATAAGGAAGAAGATGCTAGCGGAAAGGAGCCTAGATATAAAGTGTTAAGTATCTTTATAATGCAGTGATAATTAAAATCTAAAGGGCTAGATAGAAATAAAAGACATGAAGAATTAAGAGAGTTTTGGTTAGAGGTGGCAGCTTGAACTCACACATTCAACTCTGCTCCCACCTCAAAACCCTAATATAATTCGGACCAGCAAGTGGTGTAGAGGTTAGGGTGCTGACTCCCACATGGCCAACCACAGTTTGAAGACTAAATGGGTGGCTTGCTTTCTCTTTCTCTTCCTCTCTGTGTGTGTGTGTGTTTCTGTCTCTTTATGGTGAGTGCACAAGCCCTACAGAAAATTAAAATAATAATAATTAATAAATAAAATTAAATAAATAATTGTTTTTAAAGCCCTAACAAAATTATAGTAAAAGAAATTTTTAAATGCACAAACACACATTACTGGGAAATACAGGAGAGAAGACACTAGGAACCAATTGTAGAAACAAGACAGCAGCAGGACAAATAGTAACTGAGTCAGTATAACTGAGAAGTGTAAGTCAGCAGTAGGGATAATTGAAAGGCAGGTCAGTTGACACTACAGAACTCCAAAAAGGCTCAGGAATTTGTAGTTCCAGGTACCTCTGTAAGTCAATGTTAAGAAGTGGCTAAAACCAGGAGGACTGGTTGAAAGTCGGCCTAAGAAGCTGACAGACCTGCAGATTGCCTCCCCCACTCTGCAGAGTCAAATAACCTCCCCGACCCCAGCAGAAGATTGGAGGTCTATTCTCTTGGGGAAAATCACTGAAGCTCAGAAGAAAACTTTAAGAAAGAAAATCTATCATTGACATCCTCGGAGATATTAGAGGAGATATTGCAACCATAAAATAAGAGGAGGAAATTTTAAGCAGTATTGAGGAAAATAAAAGAGCTCTTGGGAATTAAAAATATGACAGGAGAAATTAAAACCTCAATAAAAGAGTTGGAAGATAGACCTCATAAACTGTCTTAGAAAGCAGCATTAAAAAAAGAAAACAGGCCGAGAAATATAGGAAAATCAGACAAGAAACCCAAACATCTGAAAGGAGGAGTTATGGGAAGAGCATTAATAAAGAGTTCTTTTATTTATGCCTTTTAGGGATATTAAGTACTTTACTCAAGGTCAGACAACTGATAGGCAGAGCTAGGATTCTAACTCAGGTGTCTTGGATTTTTTAGGAGTAAGCTTTTTCCATTCTACTATACTATAAAGCCTCTGTGGTGAGACCATGTTTCCCCACCCCACCAATCACATCACATGTATCTTCTCCTCTCCAGAACATGGCATCAGAGACTGAAGAGAGAGGATATGTTATCAGCTACTCGATGATACATTAGGTTACGCTTTGAGAAATATCTGGTTCAGCTTTTTAGTTTAAGTTCTCTCAAGGTCCATCTAAGAATTTGAGTGCTGCCTTCATACTTGCCTTTTTTTTTTTAGTCAATTTCTTATTTAGACTCATTGTTTTGGATGCTTTTTCATTTTTCCCTGTAAGTGATTTGGTCTTTTCTCAAGATATTTCAGGCATTTGTTCTTTCATTGAACTATTCCTTTTTTACTCTTCCTCTTAGTGTGTATCACCTCTTCTGTCTAGTATCACCTTTCTTAGTAGGTGCATTTATTCTGCTTTAAAAAATTGATATAGAATGCATGCACTCACCAGAGAGAGGGGAGAGAGAGAAAGTGAAAAAGCACCCCTCGGGGGTGGCCACCCTGCATTTCCTTCAATCCCTTTTCTCCTCCAGTCTCTTCTCTGCATTTACCGGCATGCACTCACATGTACCCAGTGTGTTTTACAAGCTGCCAGGACAGGGACTCAAACTGTGCAGTTGGCAATATGAGATCCAGCCGCCTTCACCACCACCCTGCTGAGCAGCCCTATTCTGCTCTTTAAAGGCTCCTACTTTGTTGCTGCTGGAGATGTAGCTTCAGCTCCTTTCAAACAACAAATACAACACTAAAATCTCCACCTTATGTCTCATCAGTTTCTGGCATCTCAGTAAGGGAGCCTGGTTTTCCATGATTTAACCACACTTCTCAAAATATTTTTTTTATTTAAATTTATTTACATTCATTCACTGTACATCATTACAGCATACAAAATGAGATTTCCCATCCAGAATACACTGTATATTGGCTCAATCAAGCACATTAACATACATGTTATTGTCAACACATAATTTTCCATTCGTTTCCTATATATTTTGTTATTTTATGTTTCCCATCCTTGTTTCCTTATCTCTCCCCCTCTGCCATGTCTTACCCTCCTTCCACACTTTTCTCTGGTATCCACAGTTGCTTTCTATGCCTTTTCCTACTATTTTTTTATTCGCTAATGAACTTAATCAATCTAAATACTTCCAGTAGCAAACGCAGCTGATATATACATATCCATGAACACAAATCTGACTTTAGGCATAAACCTCAGTGAGTAGAATGAACATACTATAAAGTAGCCCCTAGCTGGGGCTATACATCTTCCTACAGTCATCAAATATGCATTTTTTTTTTAATTTCAAGAAAAATAGTTTTCGTGTGTTTTTTTCCTCCTGAAACTTTTTTTTAATTAATTAATTTACATTCATCCCCTAATCATTGTCACAGCATTCAAAAAGTGATTTCCCATCCAGAATATACTGCATAGTGGCTTAATCATGTATAATTTTCCATTTCTTGTTTCACATATATATTTATATATAGTTACCACTATGTCTGACCTTCTGCCCTTTCCCACTCTCCTCCCACACTACCTCTGGTGCCTACAGTTGTTTTCCATTCCTTTTCCCCCCACATTTTATTGATCACACAATTCTTAAATAATCTATTTTCAATAGCAAGTTCAGTTAATACCTTTCTGCTCTAATGAATTTGTTTTGCCATGATATTTCTCTGCCAAATGTGCTAGCTTTTGAGAGATTCGTTTCAGCTGTTATCATTCCTTGGCCAGAAAAATTACTTCTCACTTGACAAATCATAACCTCCCTTTTTATACATAAACTCAATTAACCTGTCTCAACAATTTCCCTTTTCAAAGTACACTCTAGAATGTTAATATGTATTTAACAAATCTGTAACTGTCCTTCAACTTCCAGTTTTTACATTCTAAATATTTCTTTCCATGTCAATCTCTAATTATTTCTAGACCTTTTCATGGAATCTTAAACAGCAAAACTAGAAGGAAACTTGAGGTCACCTGGGCCCATCTCCTACCTGGAACATTTATTCACACATCCATAAAACATTTATTGAATACCTATACATTAGGCCCTGGTGTTTGCAGATAAATAAAACAAACAGCTTTGGTCTGAAAAAGCTCAATCTAGTTGGAGACAGACATAAACAAATAAATTACAGTACAACATGGGAAATGTTGTAGGAGAATGAAGAACACAGAACAGTAAGAACACAGAAGAAAGCAGTGACCAAAAATACTTTCTCGTTCACAAAATAATTTCACAATCCATTTGTTCATTTACTTCTCTAAATGACTCTGTGACACAAGCATTACAGGCAAGAAAATGGACAATCAGAAAGGTTATAAGACTTACCCAAAGTCACTTGCCTAATACTGAGTGCTGAAATTCAAACTTTCTTCTTCCAGTTTTTTTGGTTTTGTTTTTGGTTTTGGAGAGGTTTTTGCTATAGGATGCATGCGCTCGCCAGACAGACAGAGAGAGACAGAGAGACAGAAAGCGAGAAATCACCCCCCAGGTGGGATGGTCACGCTGCAATCCCTTCTCCTCCATTCTCCTCTCGTGATCTTGGGTACGCACACACACACACCTGGTGTGAGTTTAAGCCACCAGGGCCGGGACTCGAACTGCGGTCAGCTACATGGGAGTTCAACGACATAGCCATTATGCTAACTGCTGGTCCCTTTTCTTCCAGTTTTAAAGTTTGGATGTATACCCATCAAACTATGCTGCTTCTTTCCTTTCCTCTCTGCTGCTTGTGGGGTTATATGGAGTAAAAGTACATTGTTAAATAACTGTTTTACAGAGAACATATATATTCATTCATCTAATTGTTTCTCCATCTGAATCCAATTCCATTTATATACTGTGAGCCACTGAAATTTTCTTTCAACCTACTACATTTTGAGAAATAAGAATATAGTGATTGGGGCCAGCAGGTGGCATGGTGCATAAAGGGGCTGGACTCCCACATGGCCGACCACAGTTTGAGTCCCAGATCTGGTGAC